TGTCTGTGGACAAATACATTGAAGTCACCTCTCCTGTATGTTTTAAGAGAATTCTCCTTGGCAGAAGAGTTCGCGTTGCAACTTTGAGAGTCGGAACCTGCCCTGGTGAGCCTTCCTTTTATTTGAGATCGGTTAGCTGGTATCTCTCCACTGCAAATTATGCATAAACGGGCTGCGCATTCTAACGCCTCTGCGACCCTGCAGGTAAAAGGAATCGTGATGAATCACTCTTCTTTCACTTCTCATTTGGAACACAACCAAGAATTCGATCGATCCACCTTTCCCATGTGACATGTTGTATCCATCACAGTTGTATGTTGCGCCGTTTACGTGGTGTGTTTCGCCCTCCTTCACTATGAACCGGTTCTCGACGCCAACCCAGCTGGGAGTGCGAGCGACCCCACCGCCATCAACACCGTTGGGTCACTTTTCGATTGCTCCCCCATTTATCACTTCACTATTGACTTGTCACAGCTGTTTACATGAACGTACCCTCCACAATGCTTGCCAATTCGCTCCACTTATCAGTTTCCAAAGCTTAGGAAAAGAAGTCGATGCTGTTTTTCCAGATATGATCCTTTTTGACAAAGTCGCTCTTCCGGAGTATGTCACCAATTTATGGCAATGGGATATCGAATGGGAAGAGGAAAATCCCGACTACCGCTGTCTTCTCGGTCGTGTACACGTTGTGGTAAGTATCAAAATGTAGGATCCAGGTTAAATTCGAATTGATTGACTTTTGCGAATTCAGAACGCCTGCCAAGGTCCTTTTATGGTTTGAACTCTTAGCGATACCACTTTATGTGGCGTTCCTCTTCCCGTGGTGGCTTTTCTTCATAGGTTCGTTGGATCCATTTTTTGCAGATTTTGAACTGTTTTATATTTGGTGATTTTCAGGACCTCATCTCGTTATTATTGTGCTCACTTTGTATGCTTTGAAAAAAGAGAAGCACAGATGGATGTGGCCGATCAATCTGTATGCGGTAAGTGCCCTCCTCAACGAGGATTTTTGGACATTGGTTATACTTCCCATTTCTAGCATTTTTTACCCACATTACTTATTTAGATCCATAATGATTTCCAATTTTTGAGTAAATCGAAAACAGCTAGATTAGACTCGCAAAAAATTTTCTGACTATTTTCTCGAGAATTGTTCACTGGTTCCGCCGAGAATTCCTACGTCATGTATTCGATTCTCTTCGTTGTAAAACTACGCGCAACCACACCCTCTCGGTGTTTCTGAAGGGCAGAGCATTATGGAACCAGAATTTTTCTAGCGATAAGTGAAGAAAATTCTGCGATGTTACGCGCTTCCTCGGCTTTGAAAAATATCTGCAAGAAATACTTGACAAAGCGACACCGGAGATAATTTATTATTAGATTAGGAATCGAGGATATGGTCCATTCGACCAGTGGAGGAAGTAAAGCTAGAGGAGAGTACCAGGACATGAAGATTGTTTACTATTATTTTGGATCTAAGGCGAAGTGGGTGTATGGCAGTGGGCGCACGCTACCACGCAGGCGCGCTGGGGACAAACCCTGAGCGCAACGCAAGCCTTCTACCATCTCCAGGCTCTCACAACCGCCTTTCTCCTCACCACCATTGAGACTTTAGGGGCAGAGTCTCCGTGGCGTTGCGCAGGTTTGTTAGACCTGCTGTTTTGTTGGCCGCAGAGTCTCGCGATTGCAATGTTTCACCGAGAATGCTGGGTTGTCCGAACAGAAACTTTCAGACCCCAGACGAGATTATAGAACTGCACTCTTCTTTCCGGGCCACGTGCAGGCTACCAGTTCATCGCTACCGAACCCTTTCATAAGACCCAGCTTTTCACGGTACACTTACCATAGCTTGTAGTCACAGGTTTGTTCATTGTGAAGGTAGGTCGAGTGCAATGATCCACCGTTTCTTGTGGATGAGCCCAATAATTGATAAACATCTCTTATGCAAACAGAGTACAATCGGAATGAGCCCATCTCTCGAACGGTCTCCTCCCTTTCTATGATTTGCTACTTTAGGGCATTTCAATTGCACTCTACTGGGCCTCTGATAACAATTTGAATACTGATCGTAGCTATATTCATACGACGCCTTTTGAGCTTCTTACCGGACATAGTAGCTTGCTAAAAATTTTATGAAAACTTTAAAGGCGTGATGTTCTGGGCACCCCCTAGGACTTGGCTAAACATCCATTCTGGCTCACCGACTTCCCCGATGCTCGTGACAGTATAGTAGGGGAACGTAATACCTAGCCTACATAACATTTCTGCTTCAAAAAATGGCGGCCATGCCGCCACCTACCTGTATGCCGCACCCTGTGTCATTGTTGGATATGCTTAAGCATTCCTTTAGACAACACTTCATAACAATGCGTTTGAAGGCGGAGTTTACGATAAAAATGCGACCCATTAGAAATGAAAGAAGAGTTGTGCAGTAGTGCATGGATGAAGAAGAAAATGTTCATCAAACACGAGACGGCTCACAGAATCTGGAAATGATGCGTCCTAACTTGTCGTCCTTTTTTAAGCATTGATTGCAACTCTCATCGATGATGACTTTATTGACGCTAACGCTTGCTCTGCTGAAATGCTAGAGTCAGACGGCGAGAGATTGGGCGGGCAGCGGCGCGGGTGGCACAGGTTATGGTCCTACTGGACAGCCGGGGCAGAAAGCTTCTTGCCGTTGCCAAAATGCGCCATCGTGCCCTCGAATCTAATTGGTCTCGCCGCCTGGTTCGCGCTAAGTAATGTTTCTCGTCCTTCAAGCTCCACCTTAATGTGAATCCTCGCTTTCAACCACGACTGACCTACGAAGAAAAACAACTACAGCGGAATTGAATTGAAAAAAGTTGTCAATTACGTCAAAATTCCTGGCTTAGTTTTGTTTATATTCTTTCTGAATCATCTAGTCCAATTATCGCTTTTTATTAACCTTGAATTTCTTGTGTTTATATTCCAGGACATCATGAGGACTTCTTCACTAGAGCAAATGATAGTCGGCATTGTGAAAGCGATAATTTTGCTCATTGGAGGGATCTTATTTTGGAGGTTGACGGTGAGTTCAGCATTCAAACAAATATGAAGTGATATTATTCATTATTATTTTTTGTGTGATGGCAGATTAGAAAGTTGATGCTTGCAATAAACGGCGTGTTTCTATTCTAGTGCGATTCCACCATAACGCCATCTAGCCGCCTCCGCTCCTCCCGTTAGATTATCAGCGTTTATCTTTACATTCCATTTTGATTTTTGCTGCATACCGACGGCTATTATCTGAACCGCTAGTGCGATAAGAGACGAACAACAGACCAATCATCGATTCAAATCCTCCATTATCTTGCTGGCGGCCGCGCCTTTCCTTCTATTCTAGACTTGCAGTGACACTCTAATGCAATGACTTATGTGCTTTCAGTAAACTAATCACAGGGTTAAAGCTGTTGTTTGTTAACTTTCCACCTCTTAATTTCACTCCCAGACAAGTTGCTAACACAGTCAACACTAACGCAGGAGTGGAAGGCTTATCTTTGGCCTCCTGGCTACCCTTCAACGCCGGGAATTCGTCTTGAGATTCGTGCGCAACGATGAGTTTGCACCTGTTTGCATAACCTACAGCCAACTTCTGGTCCTCTCACTTTTTCTCCGTTTAATTACCGAATAATAATTCAATTTTAGAAGTGATCGCTTGAAATTTTGAAAACATTTGTAACCCTTTTCTTTAAGGTTTTCCATACGACAAGAAAGTATTTTGAAGCAAAAGCTGAAGGAGCCGCCTTCCCCAACCAACCGAGGCTGAAACAGGGATGGAAAAGCTGATGAGGCCGATATAGCCGTGTAATCTCTTTTATGAATAGATCTAGTGCCTTGAGGTCTGTCTGTAAGTTTCAGACATTGTACAAAGAAATACAGGGTACTGTAAAATGTATTACCAAAGCATCCTGTACTTCACCGGAGAGCCTATTTCGAAGCTCTTTCTTCTTAAGCTCATGATACGACTCATTATGCGAGTAAACTATATCACAAGAAAATGCATTCCATTGTACAAATATCTTGTTCGAATCAAATCTTTCAATTTTTGGGAATTTTCTAATAACTCTCCATGGATTGAATATACTGGCGTCAAATAGAGCGTTTGGTTAGAAGTGTGATAGGCTCTAAGGGGAGATTTTCTTCAGGAATTTGTCTTTAGTCTAGCAAATTGGTAAATTGTCTTAAAGGCACAGTGCCCAGTCTGAATCAATTGCCCCTACGAATAGGGCTGTCAAGTAGGCGACTGCTCTGGTGGTGCCATTTTCGCGACACGAAACACCGTGGAGGGGACAAGGGAATTGAAACTTGCAACCATGAGCTCTCTAAGCAACCTAGCACGCTCTGGCGGAACCTCAACTGAATCGTGTCGTTCATCTGCTATGCTCTCTCATCTCAAAGCCTTTTCTCTCTCCTCGAGGGTCATTGTCTCTAAGCTGTCTGCCGCTTTGGCTCCTTTTACATCTCGTTATTTCTGTTCGCGACAGTTTCCTTGCCTTTTTCTCGACTGGTGATCCACTTCGCACCCTTTCATTTTCGAGTGGAATTCTCGCATCAAATCGTATGTGGAATGTGCCTTTGATGTCTAGACATCGCAGTTAGAAATGTTTAGGATATTTTTCAACATCCATTGTTTATTGCCTTTATTTTTGATTGTTGTGCCATATTCTGGAAACAGCAGGAGAAAATCGTTGGAGAAGATGAATTAGACTGTGTACCACTTGAGCCATTGTTTCTGTTTGTTATTGTTGATGTATTTTCCATAAAAATTTTTTTGCCAATTTCTCATTTCATGCTTAGGGATGACATCATGGATGGGTTCTTTGTAATTTTTGGAAAAGGTTTTGAGAGCCTGTTCTGCCATTCAGGAAAGCTTGAAATAAAACATTCATGTGATGTGAAAATCACAAATTTCTGGAAGCTTGCGACTTTTTTTGTGGTTTTTGCACATACACCATGTCCTCTTCGCTTTTCACGGAAGAGAGAAATTGAAGGTGTGCAGGTGTGGGGGTGAATAGATTGAAATAATGTAGAAGGTTGGGCAGAAGTCGAGTAAGTAATTCCTCAACAGCCTTGTGTGTGAATCTGGAAAGCAAGATCGGTTCGTGGTGAGACGAAAGCGCCGACCGTCCTGTAGAAGAAATCTTCACCACTAAGGACTCGGCTCAGTACAAAGCAGCACGCAATTTTCTACAGTGTCTCGCTCTTCACGCCTCCGACAAGCTGTCGTGTGTAGGTTGTGAGGAGACGTGTGTAGGTTGAGTTAGTGATACACTGTCTCATAGGCTAGAAGTGGTGTAGTGGAAAGCGGTGTACTTGCAAGTGGCGCGCTGATATTTACGAGGGCTTTCCGGAGATCGAATCTTGGGTCGTGCGTCACCCGGACGAACCAGGCCTTCTATCCTTCGGCGTTAGTTGTTAGGACTTGTCTGGAGGATAAAAAACACTGACTTGGTACATCGGCTGGCCCCCGCAAGTCATTGTATAGGCCACATCGCATTCAAATGCCACTACGAATGTACAAATGGAAGTAGAATGCGTGCCGCATCCCAAAAAGGGATTGATCAACGGCAAATGCGTTATCCTTTTACCTTTTATGCTGTCTCATCCTGATCGGTGAGTGTTGCCGAACGGAAATCTTGCACGACTGAAGATGCGTGCGATGTGACGTACTTCGCGGTAATAGAAGATGGCAGCAAGTGACGAATGAGAGTATCAAACGAGATGACTGAAGGAATAGCCGTACGTCGTGAAATACAGTGATATCGCTGAATGACGATTGAAGCAGGAATTCATGATTGGAAATGAGTGGTGTCGTAAATTAAGTGAACCTATTGCTGCATTTGAGAGCCCCTCCAAGAATTGTTAGTAAGGATTCGTTACTGGAGAGAACGATCCCCAATTCTGTTCCAATTCTGCAACACTTCACTTCACGCAGTAGTGTGGGCAGGATGTCAAAAATTCCTTGCTGAGTTTCGCTTGTCAGAAATGGCATAATGATTTGGGAAGAGCTGAGAATTTTCCCCTTTACTTTGTTAACTGATTGTTAATACAAAACCTTTGGAGAAGCTCTATCTCACGGTGATTATACATTTAAACCGTTGACGACCGTGTGGTATGATGTAAAGCTACAGCCTTGTTTATGCTGGTTTTCAAACTTTCTAGGTAACTGTAAATTATAGGCTACGCCTATGCATTGCTTCAAAAGCGTGGTCCCTGGAAAAAGTTTTGGTCAAATGGCTATTGAGTTTTGAAAAAATGCATGAATAATCATTAGCTTCCGCACTTTTTGTGCTCACTATTAGACTGGAAACAATCTGTACAAAAATATTGCTTGTAATAAGATTCTGCTGCAACTGCTGCGAACGCTTTTGGCAGGAGTCGGAGCATATCACATCCTTTGATATCTGGCACATTTGTAGCTACTTCGGCTCATTTGTGAACATTTTTCTTTGCCTCATACAAGTCTTCCAGTCGGTGAGTGGTGTTGTTTATGGAGGTTCGATTACAACCCAACAATTGTTCTACAAACTCGAGATATAGGGACCAGGAGCTGATCTTAGGACGGTGCCATCTTGCTTGCGTGTAAGCTTCAGCCCTTTTTTCACGCTTTCAAATCGCTGGAATCGCTGAAGCTGCCAAAATGGCAAAATCTGACACAAGAACAGCAATGTACGGTTTCTCAAAAAGGTGTACTCGTGGGACCGTGTGACTGATGTTATGCCACATCAGAAAAA